TGAGGTTGCTGTGAGCTAGGTTAACGCCACGGCACTCACTCTAGCCAGGGCAACAGAGTGAGACTTTGTCTCAAAAAAAATTAAAAAAAAAGGGCTGTCTTAGGCTCCTCTTATGAAATTATTTCAATTCTATAACCAGGGTCATGTTTTGTCTTATTCAATTTTTTTTAACATACCATTGATTAGAAGAAAGTATCTTACCTAGAAAATACTTCAAAATTTTAAATTACGCATCTTTTAAAATATCCTAAAAATTTTATGAGGTATACTCATGTCTTCCATACATCCATTAATAATACCATTGTTGTCCAAGTCACAGACTCAACACTCTAAACATTAAATCTTTCCTCCCTTCACTCTCCAGCCCCAGTCCCTGAATCAGTCAGAGACCACCAAGTCTTATATATAAGGTTTTCTTCACAAATTCCGCACTACTCACTCCTACAATTTTTCATTATGACTTCACTGACTAAAGTAGTTCTCCTGACACCTGAAATACTACTACTGGCAAACAAACTGTTTTCCTCTTATCTTCTAGACTATCCTATGATTTACTTATATATGCTTATGAAATCATTTGAGGCCAGCAACAATCCATCTCAATTATGTTTCTGTCTTATCATTTCCAAAATCTATTCCAAACAAACCTTCTAAATTACTGTATGAACATGTCTTAATATTTACCTTGTTGCTTACAATGGTTCTCTTACTTATAAAATTCATTCTCCTTCTTAATGACTCAAGGCATTATTTATCTTTCAAGGCATAGTTGTGATTCCTCTTCCACAACAAAACTTTCTCTGATCATCCATCCTGAAGTGATCCCTACACCCTAATACAGTAATTGTGTTTCCATTCGTTATGCTATCATTTGAGACTTTTTATCAATACTTATCTCTTAAGGTATATTTTATCTCCCCAACTTCACTGTAAGTTGGCTAAAAACAAGGACCATGTCTTATGCTTCCTTGCGGTCCTCATATTTTGTGCATAACACAAAATAAACACACTCAAATATTTGCTAATCAAAATATCTTAATCTGCATGTTTATACT